ATTCAAAATCGATTTGCGTGATAACTAAACAAGTTATTTAAAAAATTTCAACGGATTCTTGAATGAAATGTCAAGTAGTATTAATATTAACAGGGTGTTTTTATGTAAAATTAATTTTAGTGACCAAAAATTACAAAATACTCGAAATGACCATCTTCCCCTCGTGGAACGTAAGGTTTCTCTGCATATTATTGTACAATTTTTAAAGATCTTTTAATTGATATATACATTGATCTACGTTCCACGAGGGGAAGATGGTCATTTTGAGCATTTTGTGATTTTTGATCATTAAAATAAATTTTACATAAAAACACCCTGTTAATATTAATACTACTTGACATTTCATTCAAGAATCCGTTGGAATTTTTTGAATAACTTGTTTAGTTATCACGCAAATCGATTTTGAATATTGGCCCAAAATATGATCCTGGTACAAAATGGGTCGAGTTGCATAAATAATTTTTGTATATTTATTCTTCTTAATTAATTGTTTATTCAAAAATAAATTTTCATATAAATAAAATAATTTTTCTAAATCGTTTGTCATCGTCTTTGCAAGTAAATTATTTTTATGTTAGTATTTATATATTGTAATATTTAAAGTATAATACTTTTTAAATTTTTAAAAATAATTAATGTGTTAATTAAATTGATCATAAAATTTACAAAAAATTATAAAAAATAAAATTATAAATAATTGTTTTGATTATAATAATGATATTTAAAACAAAGATTAAAATTGAAGGATAATATAGACTTTTATAGACCATTATATCCTAATGTCAAAACCCAATACATATTTCATTACATTTAATGGCAATTTTTAAGTCGATATTATGTATATTCTGTACGTATTATATATTCAATTGATTCATTTTCTCATTAAATAACACATAAAAACTTTTTATCAAATATTAAATTGTGTTATAAATTGTGGATTTCACATACGATTAACCAAAATATGCAATAAAAACAACAAAATTTGCGTCAAAAATGTGTTAATAAATTAGAGTTTCAGTGAAGACATGCCTTTTATTACAATATACTGTATATATGCCATCAAAAGACGGCTTCGTTTAATTGAACACAACTTTTCTTAACTAAAATTTTAATTAAAATACTTTATTTAACTTTCTATTCAACTCTTTTTCCCTGTTGTGGATAAATTTGCGATTAAATTAACTATTATTAAGTTGTATATAGTTTTTAAGTAAACTCGTTGACAACACAACACTATGTGTGAAAAATAGACGCTATTTATGATGAAAAATGTTTTCCCAACTAATCAAGTGTTAAATCATTTTTGTTTTTTAATACACCAAAGGATTAAATTTATTACAATCCATTATTTATTTCATTTGTATCACAAAGTATTTTATGTTATAAAGATTTCACTATTTATTAAATGGATTTCTTAGTTATTAATGTAATAAAATATTTTAGTAATAATTTTATTATATAATACATTCAGAACATGAAGTTTTTGATGTAATAACCATTTGAATATCAATATTGCAAATAATGCAATCATATGTTTCTATAAATATAACATAATTTACATAACATTAAATACACATAAAGGCAAACTGAGATAACTGATCAATATACTTTTATGTTAAATAGGTTGTATGGATCACGAGTTTCCCTGTAATGACACCTGTATTGACAAAATAAAGAGATGTGACACTAAAATCGATTGCACAGACGGTTCCGATGAGTATAATTGTGGTGAGCATTCATATCATATGTTTTTATTGTTTTATGTTTCGTTCATATATTAGTTATTTATATAATGTATATATTGTTTAATGACAGACAGAATAGTAATCATAAAATCAAATTAATTTACATAAAAATTCCACTAATTTTGTGTAATTTTCTCTATGGAAAAAACTAATGACACATTTTTATGTTATATTTCGCAATTAGTACTGGATTTTCATTATTTGGTAGAATATTCTGTGCAATGAATTTCTCTCTGATCTGAGAATTCACACAAAGTATTACATAAAACAATAATGTAATGAAAAATAGCAGAAATAATTTCTACTCTCGTCTAACAAACAGTGGCAATGATTGCCAGTGTTTTGGTGTTTGAGTGCTATAAGTGTTTTGCCGACTATTGATGGCTATACCAGACAGAGAGACAGAGACGTCAAGATAATTAATTTTATTGATTTTTGTCCGAAACACACATGGGCATGTATATTGTCATTTATCTAAAATTAGGCACTCGGTAAAAGTGAGTCCCTATTCGATGATTACAAAGGCTATCATTTTGATAGTATTAAAAACTAAAATAAAATATATTCTCTATGCCCTGAATAATACAAAATTCGTGTCACATATCGTATACATAGTATTTGGGTTTTCAACCGAAAACACATAAATTACACACAAAAAACTTATGCCTTGTTTACTGTATAGTTTATACCGAGTGTTATAACTTATAAGTATTAATATCATTTGAGGATGAAAACGAAAATAAACAAAAAAAAATACACACAAATGTTTTTTACTAAATATACAATTGATATCTTATAAGAACGTGTTAGAAATTATTGATTTTTTGGATCAAAAATTTTCCATCCAATAGACTAAACACAAAACACTCGACTTTCTATTATATTATATAAATAACATTATTAAATTAATTAAAAGTCGTGGAATTTTAATTAATTAATATAATAATGTTACTCAGCACGTGTGTTTTGTATCCATTTAATTAGTCTGGACTCTTAGTAGTTTTCCATAATTATTTGTCACCATGCTAATAATTATATCAAAATAGACCAGAATAGAAAATAAACATATGGGCATTGTATATGATTTATCTTAACCATTGTATTATAACAATAATTGTAATAAACATTTACTAATGAGTTTTTATCGATTATTTTTATTAATACAGTATTGCAGGCATTTCCCAAAATGATATACATTTTTACTTTATATTATTCTATATTCTCAGTATTAATGGTATCAATAATTATTTTACATGTAATGTATTCATTAATATATTAATTATTATAGAAAAATATTAGTATATAGGGCATTGACTTATATTATTGTAAATAATCTTCAGTAAAAATAACTTTCCATATAATATCAGGCATCTAAAAATATATTTAATAAACTATTAAATGAGATGTGAATTTCTTGTTTTATTAATATATACTGGATTTAAATTTACTATACATATTTTATATTTGCATTTTTATATTGAAATATTATATGCAATATTAAATTAATTTTAATGGTAATAATAGATTTTTAAGTCTAAAATTTAATATAGAAACATATTTAACAAAATATTTTATTTGTTGAAATCGTTACGTACATACAGTGTAAATTTACTACAGTGTGTATATTATATTAAGTGAAATACTTTTATTTTTTGTCTTTATATTCTTGTCAATTGTCTTAGTTGTAACAAATAGACATTTTTGTATGTATTGTAAATTGTACTAAATTTAATTATAGATATACATTGCATTCAAATATGTATAAACACAAAGTGATTGTTTAATAATAATTGATGACTTTTTGTATTATATAGAGGGCTACTCGTGTCCGGTCACACACTTCAAGTGCGACAATCATTACTGCATTCCTTTGGAAAATGTTTGTGATTTTCATAATAATTGTGGCGATTCTTCCGATGAGTCCAATTGCTGTAAGTCTATGTGAAATGCATTTCAATTATACAGTATATTTGAACATAGATTTTATCAAAATATCATTAATTTTTTAGTTTTCTATATCTATAAAAAGGACAATAAGATTGGGTCAAAAGATAAAAAATATAATATATTTTTTATATAAATATATATTAAATCACACATTGAATGCATTGATCATTGAAATAGTATCGCAAATGGTTGCGAACAAAACTCATTTCATATTTTATTTACTATAATAAAGATTTTGTAGATTATTCTTGCTCAATTTTTATACTCTGTATTTTCATTTTCGTTATACTGTATATATTCTGTGGATTGAATCACATTCTGAAGTTTAAGAAGTCTAGTGTTGAGTTTAAAATAGATATTTCACATCAATTTCTTTACAAAAAAACTCTTCATTTTAATAATATTTTTTAGTTCACATCATACTGTATTTATAATGATTACTTTGCATTAGAATTTCTATAACCCTTATTATGATTACATGGAAATAACCTGTCTTGAATCTAGATAAGAAATATGATGAAAGGAAATCTATTGATACTCTTAAAGCTTATAAGTTACACATTTTGTGAAATTTTTATTTGACACATACTTTAATTAATTTTTTGAGCAAATTATAAAACTTTATATTAATTTAAACATTAATTAAATAAGTAGACATTTTTTATAAGATTATGTCATTCATTTTGCCAAATAATTTTTATAATATACCATATTGCTATATATTCTATGATATATTGCTTTAAATTTTATATATGAAGGAATTTCTTTAAGAAATTTAGTGGAAGTATTTTTTAACTTGACAAAATACTGATTTACTCAATACTATAGCCGTCTCTAAAAAATATGTCACTATCTGTTCACAAAATCATTAATCTTTAAAATTGTGATACTCTTCGGTCACAGACCAGAAGACACAGATTTTTACATTGATTTCGTTTTACTTTTGCCACGTTTTATATAAAAAAAACCATTCAAATGATTACTTCAATTGAATTGTAAGTCATATAAAGTTTTACGGTTGTTATGCGGTCTACACTGGGATTTATGATCCGGAATAGAAAAAAATTATTAATATATTTTTTAAAGAATATTTCAAAAAGAGGTTCAATAATAATTCAAACAATTTTATTACACATTAAAGTTATATAACAAATAGATAAAATTTAATGTATTCATTAATATCTGTGACCAAAAATTGTCCAAAAATAAGTAATGAGTAAATATAAGTAGAATAATCTCTTTGAAATGAAATTCTTATTTACTGTACGATTGAAAAGCCCGGAAAGCGTTGCCACTAATGGGATCGCAATCCCCGGACTATATGTTATATAATTGTGTGATTTATTGTATTGATTTGACCGCAATGTGCAGCACATCGGCGCTGTTGGTTCGGTGAATACACGTGCGATAGCGGCCAATGCATTCAGGCCTATGCCGTATGCAATGGCAAAAACGAGTGCTCAGACGGTAGCGATGAAAAGCGATGTCTTCCCACAGGTATATCAATCACTAATTACTTGTTATTCACAACTATTTATTTTATTAATTTAATTTAATTATGTTTGTTATGATTTGGAAACACATTTTTGTTGTTACAAAATTGAGTTTCATTACAAATTCGTTAGAAATCGATGTTTTTATTTTGTTTTTATGAACCAATTTTGCGGATCATTTTGTTTTTTATGAAACTTTCTTCATGTGATAAACAGTTTTCCTTTTTGTCGTCTTATTTAACAATTGAGTGGGAAATTAGGGAAAAAGAAGATTTCTTTAGCAAAACCTTTAATTCCAATAAGAGTTACAGGAAATGGAAAACTTATCTAATGGTTGAATGGCCCAAAATAATTGCTTAATTTTTTAACAAGATTTACAAATAAAGAGAGAGAGAGAGAGAGAGAGAGAGAGTTTGCCTCAAAGGCAAACCAAATAGTCTTCTCTAATAGGTTGTCATGTCTTTTATTATAAAACGTGTAAAATTATTGATTGATTGATTAATAGAAATTTGTAAATTCTTATATATTTATATTTTTAAATGTCATATAATGGGAACTAAAATACTTAAATTGCTGTCAATTAAATAAGGTTTCAAATGTATTTGAATAGATTTCGTCCGTTGCGGGTCCGGTAGTCTTATTCACAGAAGTTTGTGGTGAGTATTGAATATCATTTGCAATTATAGTAGAAGTCCTCAGTAAACAATTGCCTGCTTTTGTTATATAAAATTACAAAATCAACATTTAATGTGAATTAATAATTAATCCAAAAAAATCTTATGATAATATAATTACCATTGAGTGGTAGGAAATATGATATAACTTAATGCAATTGCTTTGTACGACAATCTCATGGGACAGGTGTGACGGAAAGCCAGATTGTGAGGACAATCACGCCGATGAACAACATTGTGAGTACTATTGTATTCAATTATTTAAATACAAATATAACTCATACTACAAATTAAATTTGTTTTTGTTTTCACTTTTTTGTCACAATTGTTGTATTAATTATTTTAGTATAAAAATACGATTTTCATATACAGTATTTGTGTTCTAACAAAATATTCTTACATTAAAAATGAAAATATTAATTATTAAAATGTTATTGTAAAAATTCATTTTAGTTTTTTTACAACAAATTTTTTAATTAAAATTTATAATAAAATATTTATCTTTTAAATAAAAACAATCGCCAAATACTGTATAGTAATTATTTTTTGCGGAAAATAGTGACATTTCCACGATATTAGAAACAAATATTTTTCCATCATAATGAAGGAAAATTACTAGCATACTGGATTAGTGTATTAAATAATATTACATTAATTACTATAAATAACTGAATTTTATATTTCATTACAACTGTAAATAATGTATTAAAACATTTTTTTAATTTACAAATGCTGTAGAATTATCTTTTAGTAGAATAGTCTGTCATTATTTTTGGACATTATTTCCAACCTAAGAAACTAACAATTTATGCAAATGAATAAATAAATGAGAGAGAGAGAGAGAGAGAGAGAGAGA